CCCGAGCTAGACTCTGGACCCGAACAGGAGATCTGGTAATGACCGCCGTACAAGAGGGTCTTGCACGACCTGTTAAGGAGGACTCCTAGGGAATAATAATGCTAATGAGAGTAATAATTATATACAATACAAGTCGTTCAAAACAGTTATCACTCGCTCTTTAATAATGTGAAATACTCGGTATTTTGAATGAAGATTATATCCATGAATACGGACATTCTGATACCAAAAACTACATCTGTAAGAAGTATATGGTTTTCAATCGCTGTTGTAAAAGACTTCATACAAGAGCTATTCTATAATCTAATAATATCGACCTAATAAAAAAAGTTTACCAAACCGTCACAGAACAAAAATGGCCGATGGTGAGGACATAAACGTCTACATCTTAATAAATCTGACTTTTACTCTATACCCTATTACCTCGAAGATATTTGCATACATCAACGAGAAAATCAAACAACAAAAAGAAAAACAACCTAACGAGAAAAAGAGAGCTGAACAAAGTATCGGAAATTTCACCACATAGCACGTTGTACACCACTCAATTTACTATGATCGGCCAGCTTCCTGAAATCGAAGCGATCAATTTCGTGAGGGCCATATTTCTGAACAACACAGCACCGGCAGTGATAAGTTTATCTTCTCACCTGAACAAATGCCTATTGATTCGATATGGTTTGATCTTTCCTCTTTGTCGCGCCGTGAACATGCACATGTTGAGAATTCGTCTTGGATGGGCGTTTTTGGGCATATTGGAGAGTTCCGCTGCTGCATCATCTCGGATAGCCTAAACCCAGCAGACATATATTCCGAAGTACACGAAAAATCCAGTAGCTGGTCATCAGGCAGGACAAACAGGGTTACTACCGCCTCGACTCTGCGCAAACAGGGTCAGCGTTCGCCACTGTGCAGTTTTCAAGGTGGGCACGCCTAGATTTCGAAGATGACCGCTGGACCACAGCTATTATCGGCTGAATTCCACTAGTTATCAAACGATCACCTGAACCCCGCCAACGCGGAGGTAAGAATATTGATAGAAATGAAAGGCTTCTTAATCCCTGAGCTAGAAAACTACTGGACTACTCCGTCTCCCAGCAGGGACGAATGGACACGTTACTTGTGCCGCTCGAGTGAAAATGGCATCTGATGTCACCCACGACTACCATGCGGCTAATGCCATTT